TATTGAAATCAAAATTAATGAATATGATATTTTAAACAAAACGTGAGTAAACAAAATAAATTAATCCGACCTGAGCTCAAGTTTGAGGCGAAACCGAGGTCGGAAAATCAGCGATGGTTGAAAAGACACATTTTGCCCGTGTGATGAACTTTATTTTTCGTCATATTGCACCATTTGAACAAACTTTGTTACAAAACTGAAATAGTTTTCGTTTGAACATAGCCTCTCAAAATTCGACTAACTTGTTTTAAATTTAATTTTCTAATGGAAACAAGAAGCTGCTTATGATTCCACGTTTCGTGTATTACGATTGTGTTAGTGTACATTATACTGTACTATCGATATGTCGAACAATTTACAATAAAGCAACAGCAAATCACAATCGATATATACTTTCCATACTTGCAATTGTCTACAATCGAAATTTAAAACAGAATTATTAACGGATGATTTTGACTCCCTATGGGCTAAAACCTATTGTTACTCCCTATAGAGCAATAATGCAACTTTAGACCCATAACGCATGCATTAAAATGGCAAATTTTGCTGCAGTATGACGAAAAACGCTTTTAAAAAATAATCCAGCCGATATAAATAAGAGTTACATTTGTTATTTCATGAACATTTAACGCTGAAATTCTCGATATTGATTGGTCTACCAGAACAACGATTCTTTCTCGAACTATCTCAAAACGCAAAAATATACAGTATAACAGTTGTTGTTTCATCATTTGGTTGGTGAATAAGTATTCAACGAATTTATATTTTACTCCTTACTCTTAACTATTTGGGCAAGTTTCTCTTTAGAGAACTAAACACACGATGTTATTCTTGTGGAAACAACTTTGAAACTTCAAACACAAATACAATGAGTGAGAGAAATTCTATGAAAGGATGGTTCTATGAATTAATAGAATTTTCGATTGGCTAAAGAAGACAAACGTCGTTTATTTCTGAAATTAACAAGATTAGAAGTTAAATTTGTTGAAACAAATATTGTATATTTCACCAGTGCCGAACTCGTGGTGTGAGCGGTGTGAGTACTGAGCGCTGATCTCCGGGTCTACAGTGTAGAGCGTGGGAACTGACGAGATGTGGATCTCCTCTGTCAAGGGCTCTCGAGGTCGCCAGAGAGCTAGGGCAAACAGAAGTCGTGAGTGCAAAGTCGAAAGTGAAGTACATCTATCGACATTCACAACATTGTTGCGGTGTCATAGCGAAAACATAGCTAGATTTACATAGTTACACATGTAAAAGTAAAAAAAAATAATAAATTAATACAAGTGGTAAATCTTACAGGAATTGAGCTATTAAAAAAATGTTATTTGTTAACCCAATTTCAACAACAATATCAAAAAATATTTACCTTAATAATGGCTAAATAATATATAGCGTATGACTATCTAGTCATTCTGGATAATCACATTATAGCATAATAACTATAGCACAATGTTAAGTTAAATGGACATCCATGAATATTTGGACTTATTTGCTTGAACTAAATCGTTTTATACTCTAATCGTAGAAGTAATCTTAGCCTTACCCACCACGTACACACAGTTACAATGCGGTCTCAGAGACAACAAGCAGCCACCGCCCATCATTGTCAACCTGGGGCGAGTACTCTCTCAGCCCGACACCATTCTATTGTCGATTGTTCGCCATACACTCCAGTTCTGAAGAGGGCTTATTTATTTACGTCACCAGGATACTAATTCCAACACCGCAAATTAAATCGCTCAAGGAATAACAACGATGAAAGCCCGATTGTAGGGCGAATCGATTGATGTTTGTTTGTGTAGTCAAATTAGAAAGTGTTTGTCTTTGAGAACGTACAGATAAACTGTTTCTGATGGGTATGTAGGTGATTATTTCTTGTGAGTACAACTTTTACTTTTGACTACGATATGTATATACATGGGGGTAGCGGATTTTTATCCCCCTGGAATTTTACCCCCTGGGCAAACGTGACGTCACAAACCATGGGGTAAAATTCCGGCCGCGAACTTTTGAGTTTCGCGACATCAGCTCGATGGATTAAACGCGGAATTAAACATATATTTTCACGGTTGTGAATTTAATCAGAACACATCAAATTATAAAAACCTAGAGTGTACGGCCCGGATTTTTACCCCCCGGAATTTTACCCCCCGGAATTTTACCCCCGGAATTTTACCCCCCGGATTTTTACCCCCGGAATTTTACCCCCGGAATTTTACTCCCTGGCTAGATATAAAAATTAGTGAGAATGATTAATTATCTTCATTCTTTTTTAATTTAATAGTAAACATTTTATTATTAAGTAGCCTATCTTAATATAGGTTATCTTTATCATTACAAACTATAAATAGCACATGGTTTGTGCCTGAAGAAACAAGAAGGTTGTTGTACAACTGAAACTAAATACATTGTTTTTCATACTTATTAACATGGCCTATTACTTATTTACATACTTATTAACCAACAGTTTGCCCCAAAGGCAAATCCCGAACATCAAAATTAAACAGCGAATTCGTTTGACTTAGTTGAGATTACAAAATAAATAAATAAAGATAGGCCACTAAATAATGAAATGTTTACAATTAATTAAAAACAGAAATAAGAAAACCAATCATTCAATTTCTAAAATCGGCCAGGGGGTAAAATTCCGGGGGTAAAATTCCGGGGGGTAAAAATCCGGCCCGTACATTTCAGTTGTCTAAACACTAGTTATATGGACAGGGGGTAAAATTCCGGTTTTTATCGCTAATTGAATTAATCACGCACGAATAATTGAATTACTATTTTCATTAGACTTCGAAATCCGCGGGGGTAAAATTCCGGCCGCGAACAAACTTTTGGCCACTCAGATTACAACGTCATAGTGACGTCAGCTTTGCCCAGGGGGTAAAATTCCAAGGGGGTAAAATTCCGGCGACCCTATACATGATAGTGCATGGTACAATAGGTTTCATTATAGGTTATTCTGATGTAGGTTAGTATCCAGTAAGTAACCCAATGGCAAGCGCATCTTCACTGGACCAGTTCCAAGGGTCGTGGCTTGGGAGGAGTGACCAGGGGGTCAAAGGTCGACGTTCACGCTCGTGCGATACCTCGCATCTCTCGTCAGGAATACATTTCCATCTCAGATTACTACGTTTATCTAATTGGACTCATTCCGACTTGAATAAATTTGAAAAAATATATGAATTATTTAATACTGTGCAAGTTTCAGTGGTGCGGCCTTATCTTCGGTTTTTAATACCATCTCTGATTTTAGAATTGAGGAGTTTGCAATGTCTACATAATAATCATAATCATAAGTGATAAGTTGTCTTGGAAATTATATGGAGATTAATTTTCCACTCTGCATCGTTTTCTGTGTTTAACATTAGAAACAGCTTTTACCTCCAACATTGAAACTGTAAAATTATTTCGTCAAAAATAAACTTCAAATTTGAAGAAAAGGTGGACAAATTTTAGTTTAGCCAATTTTTTGTGATTTTTGCAGGTACTGCGCAACGACATCAACTTTGTCTACGTGTTAAATAGAAAGTATGTGTTACATCGAAGACTACAAGGAGAATATGGAACGTGGTGTTCGGAGACTTCAACGGTCGATTCGACTGAAGGCATGAAGGCGTCTAATTGCTGCCAAATGTCACCATAGAAAACTCGTCAGTTGCCCTGGGCTCTCTCCTGCTAGATGGACAATTGATACGTCTCAGACCCACTAAAAGGATACCATTGAGTTTACTTTAGCATTACCCTTCCAGTAACTAACTGATACTGCAGTTTCTACACTTAATACTAATACTAGATACGAGGGGGTCCGTGGGCGAATTGGGCATTACTATAAGGTTACGGGGGGGGGGGGGGGGTGCCCCAAATTAAATTACCACTATACAAGTCGTCCCTCCTCTAGATCCTAAGCTTAATGACACCCAAATCGTAAAAATTGGTTAAGTAAAATGGGCGAAATAGTGATGTCACAAAGAACCACCTTATTGTATTAAATATAATAGAAGATCAATAATCCTTTTTTCCTCGGTATGTGAGAGGGAAATAGTGATCTGTATTAGTTTCTTTAAGCATGGCTAATCATATTATAGATTTTATTTCATATAAGTGTACATTGATAGTAAAGTTCTCACATGCTTTCATTTACGCACTATACTTGAGTCAATTTCGTATTGTCAGCTTTTATTTATGAATCCAAAAATAAGATAAACATGTAAAGAAAGAAATTTTGTGAATCTATGCAATTCCATAGTATTTGTGTGGGTTGTATCTGGATGCTGTGTGAAGCTGTGCGAGGCGTTTAAATCGCCGGACCTCTGGTGTAATTCCTCGGATTGGAATTCAGCCATTCAGAAATAGCCATGTTTGAAACCACCCTAAGCTATAAGTTTAGCCTAATATATCCAGAAATCAACGGCATGAGAGTTTCCAGATAGGAGAACTGCCCATGTACTGAAGAATTGACTCCACTAAAAGTCTTTTGGCAAAGTTTGTTGAGGTAATTTTTCACTTGAAAACGAAAACTTTCACCAATATCCGTAACTATTATTTTAATATATATTTTTCATTCACGAGACATGAATTTATCAGTAAATGTATTGCAAAGTTTAATTACATAACACTGTTGACAAAATACGGATACCTGTAGCAATTAATGTTCATTATCAAACACGTATTAGGAATACAGCAGGTTCTGGCCTTCTTTTGATAAAAGCAATTTATCAAATCATCGCAGACTTTCTTCTGTCCCGTTTCGATCGCACTTGAGACGGTCGACAGGTCACGAAAATCAAATAACGAGAGTAAATGGGGGAACAATGGTGTCAAGTTAACGAAAGTAGCGGATGTATATAGTTAATCGTGAATTGAACATAAGCGGAAAGTAAGTTAGCAAAATGCGTACACGCAGGCGTTGTATTATAGCACCTCCCCTCCCCCTCCACCGCGGCCTCGTATATAACGTTGCCGGCGTCTCCCACGCGTCACCAGACATGCTCTAGCAGGCGCGCTATCAGCATGGCGAGCGCGATACTGATAACAGTGATAACGGTGGTCGCGATAGCGATAACGGAGTCCGCCATCTTGGATAACACTCGCGATAAATCTGAATCTTCTGTTGTAGCATCATCTAATGCCATCGCCAAAGAAGCGATCGACACACACCGTCAGCAGAGGTTTTTCAGTTCTGTCAGGTTGAAGAGTATAGACGCCGCGAACGAATTGGATAGTCCACCGTCGGCTTTAGAAAAAATCGATGAAGATCCTAACACGGCACTATCTGGAGTCTACAGCGACTGTTTGGTCAACCTGTCGTTTCCCTGCCTCCAGAGGAAGATACTGGTATTCCTGGACCGATTGGGTAGGATGGCCAAGTTCAACTTGATAGGCAACTTCTTGTCAGTAGTCCGCACCGCCAAGGAGTCCCGACCACCGGTGATCTCCAGTAGACTCGATGATGAACACACGCTGAGGGCAATGATAGACGACTCCATCGACAAGTTCTTCGACGACCACGTGATCCGTGTGACGGTCCCCACAGCTGCAGCTACTGGCCGTTCTACCGCCACAAACACCGTACTGGACTTCAGAGTGGGCGAGACCTACTCGGTGGAAGAGGGTGAGTCGAACAGTAACAGATAAATCTAACGAAAAAAAGCTCTGGAAATTTAATATGGTATTGTGAGACTGTGTCATATCAATATAACTGAATGTAGTAAAAGTACTTAGGTTAATTGTAATTGCGCTTTTTTTTAATCTGATAAATATTACCAAAATATAATATTTTTACAGTGGATTCTTAAATGAAAATTGTTTAATCACGTACCAGTAGGTCTATTTCAATAATGTCCCAAGTTTCCATTAAAGGGGTTATGCTACTCATATTATATTATATTATATGGTTAATTTAACAATGTTACCTATGTGTTTGAATAATATTTCAATACACACCAGTAATGCCTGAGCTAAGCGATAGAGTATAAAAGAGAATAAACTAAATATAACCTATTTTCATGGTGAGGTAGCCTCTGGATCACTAAACTTAAGCTAAATGGTTTATGTTACCTGGCTTCGTCAAGTGATCCTGCTTCAGTAGTACACTACTATAGTTTCGGACTTAAAAAGTCCATCTTCAGGTTGAACAAAAACGTCGATAGGTCATCTAACCAATTTGGTTTGATTCGTCGTTACACTTAAAACACATACACGAACACGAAAAACACAAAAAACGACTCATCTTCAGGCGTCGCCACACGTGTCCCCCGTGATTAACTACACTGGCCAGATTATTAAAGGATTTATTCGTTATTTATTCGTGTATGTGTTTTAAGTTAACGACGAATCTAACCAAATTGGTTAGATGACCTATTGACGTTTTTGTTCAACCTGAAGATGGACTTTTTAAGTCCGAAACTATAGTAGTGTACTACAGAAGCAGGATCACTTGACGAAGCCAGGTAACATAGACCATTTAGCATAACCTATTTGTTTTACTACTGTTAATTCCTTAGATGATAGCAACTCAATTTACAAATGACTTATTATAAATTGAACGGAAATAAACATGTAGATAAAAATACATATACTTTGGATTTATATATTAAATAGTGAAGTAATTTACAGAACCATTGTACTAAAGATGTCTCGATACCAATAGCACTGAGTTTTGCACTCACAGCATTGAGTTTATTGTATTGATTGAATTAAAATGTACTGAAGTGGATGAACAATATTTTATGCGTGGATGGTTTGGATTGTTTTGTTAGTTTTACTGCATTTAATCATTCATATTGTGGCAGACAAGTTTTCATTAACTTCATTGCACATTTATGGTCTACAAAAACGTATCTGAACTCTGAACGTAGGTTACCCTACATTGAAAATAGTTAAATACGGGGAGATTGAAAGCGATGAAAATAAAGATGATTTCAACTGCATTCTAACTTTGAACAGTATTATTTATAAAAGTTGTTATTAATTATTTTAATATTGCTTAGATCTTTTGGTTTTGGAGTTTGAACGTTGATCTCCATTGTAGATACAATCACAAGTGAACTGTGAGTTAATTTTACTATACTACTGAATCAAGTGTACGGTCCCTTAATTTTACTATACTACTGAATCAAGTTTACGGTCCCTTTATTTTTATGTTTAAAATACGAATTACTGCTTCGCTGAAATAAACCCTTTCGTGATTATCATTGTCGGGCTTTTCGAGTGCCTTATTTAATTGCTTTTTATTATTTTTCTTCCATACAAACATATCAAATTCCATTTCTGTAACCACAAGTACACTATTTTCTTGATTGCTTCAGATCTTCATCGTATCCCATAAATTGTGTGTTTTTATTAGGCAACAATATCTAAACGTGTGACATATAACTATAAGTTTTAAATAGGCTTCTGAACCCCAGTAAGATTATTTTGAAAATTTTGATATTTAAATATGGGGAAATAATCTATTGTAAACTTACTCTATCCTTCACTCGCATTTGGGTTTATGATGTCCAAGATTACCAAACAAATTTATGTCGAAGATCATACACTTTCAGAGAATTTATATCCATAATTCAAAAACTTAACAAAATGCAAGCAAATAATACAAAACTGTACCAACATTTATTCCTCAATATTAAAAGATGTTATGTAAGCCTTAAGGTATAGGGGGAGGACCCCGGTACCCCTCTCTCCCCTTGGGGGTTAATCGATAACCCAAAAACACCCCGGTAGTCGTAACCCGGCTGGCCTTCAATGTGGCCCTTACGTGAAAAGGTTTGGAGACCCCAGCCCTAAGCTATTGCAGTTTCACTACACTAAACACGCATTATGGTTTAATTATGCATATGAATCAATGATGCTGTTATATATTCTTAATACATTTACACTTGAGTTGAGTGTAAGATGAGTGGCGCGATCTTGTAGTGACTAAGGCCGATACATTCCATAGAAACAGCTGTTAATTAATAGCCCATATAGCTAATGTCAACGAAGGGACCTACAGTTTATAGTGGAATCCGAACCACATTTTTTCCTTGGTATTAATGAATTGGTCTAATTATCAGGATAGTACTGCGGATAGTCGTACTACTCACTAAAGCGGACTTTAATCCACACCAGGGAGTATCGTATGCACAGTGAATGCCTATAAATATCCACAATTCGTGACCTCCTAGTAGCTGGATTACAGGACGTCACCACCGTCTCAGTCGATTCCCTTTCGGAACGTTAAAAATCCCATTGGCTAGTCAACAGATAAAATAAAATAAAAATAAATGATTACACACGACAAACCACTGTTTCTACTCTCAGAGTTGGCCGGCCAACTTTGTAGTTCTGGTGGACATTGTTAATCAACTCCAGTAAAAATTTTCGATTTTACATTACTGTACATTCCACGCGTTTGTCTGAAATAAATGTTAAAGGGCGATTGTCGGCTTCTGTTCTGATGTGTAGTTGTGCAAAGTGGTTCTCATTTTTTGAAATCTTTATTAGTTTGGGCTGAATCTTCCATCAAAGTTGTGTTTTCCCCCATAAGGTTAACATGGGGGAATCTATATATTATTTTGAAACTGTTTTTCTTTGTCACAGCTATTTTGAGAGAACGGCTGGGCGTAGAAACTCGGTAGAGGTGTCTAAAGAAAGGTCTTGGTCTGTAGATGAGCCATCAAAAGAGAAACATGGTGAATTCCCATGGGGCTCTGCCCCCATGGCCTTTAAATTCCCATCCCATGTTATTCTTATGGAGGAAAACGGGGTTTTTGTCACAGCTAATTTGAGAGAACGGCTGGGCGTAGAAACTTGGTAGGGGTCTCTAAAGAAAGGTCTTGGTCTGTAGATGAGCCATCAAAAGAGAAACATGGTGAATTCCCTTGGGTCTCTGCCCCCATGGCCTTTAAATTCCCATCCCATGTTATTCTTATGGAGGAAAACGGGGGTTTTGTCACAGCTAATTTGAGAGAACGGCTGGGCGTAGAAACTTGGTAGGGGTTTCTAAAGAAAGGTTTTGGTCTGTAGATGAGCCATCAAAAGAGGAAAGAGGTAAATTCCCTTGGGGCTCCGCCCCAGAAGCCTTTAAAGTTGCCTCTTCAGATTTGTTTACATTACGACCATATGCATAATTCTACCATAGATGAAGTAATTTAATTAATATAATATAATATTATATATTATAATATATAATATATTATCATCGATTTACAAATTATCAAAATTGTATTATATTTATCGCAGTTAAATGAACAAGCCTTTGAAGTAACCGTCGATTTAGACTGGTTTCACCTAGTATTACAAATTATTCATTAAATTAAACACACAATCATAACTGTAAACAATCCTACTTTAACAGTTCTCATTGTGTATCACAGCATTTTGTTGCTGCTTAGTTAAAATTATATTTTGTCATAAATGCAAAGAAAAATAATAGTGCTGCACCCTGTTGGTAGGCCTAAGCCTTATAACTTTTTAACAATATTAAATCAGCTGACTAAATTCTCTAATTCCTTTGAATATAAATACTCATAAGGTTAACATGGGGAACTAAAGAGCCACTGGGGCGAAGCCCGAAAAGATTTTTGAGATGAGTAGGCTTGCGGGAATGTGAGCTATCATAATGCCAAATTTCAGCTCAATCTGTCCAATAGTAAAAGCGTGATTGAACTTCAAACAAACAAACAAACACACAAACAAACAAACACACAAACTTTCGCATTATTATAATACTAGTGTACATGTTGCTCGAAATCGAGCAATTGCAAAGAAGTAAAGTAGTTACAGTATTTAAATACCCCCGCCGCAGCAAACCTGCAGACTAAGCGAATTTCCATTTGCCTGATTGGATTTACACTAAAATGTCTCCTTAAAAATATCACATTTATTCCCTATTTAAATAGCATTAGTTTAACGAGTAATTAGTTTTGCTGCAACAGGGAGGGTAAAAAGTTTTCTTTTGTAAAATGTTAATAGTTTTAGTATGAAATAAATACATTTTCCAAATTTGATCAAAATATGTTCATAAACAAGCAAACGACAACAGTTTATTTATTCTCCATAAGAATAACATGGGAATTTTAAATTTACAGTTTTTTGGAATTTTTTCAGTAACCATTTGGCGCATGATAATGCTTCAATATACTAAATTTTTTTTTAAGCTCTACAAAATGGTTTGGAAAGAAATTGCTAAATTTTAAGTCTTTAGGGTAAAAAATGGGAACAACCAATTTTTACCCCATAAAACCCCCCATAGACCCCTATTCCCATTATAGTCCGATCATGCCTGTTGGCGAACTCGTTCGAATAAACGTCGGTTTACACGTTTGTACCAAATTTCATCAACATCGGATGATTTTTGCTCGAGTTATCGCGCTAACGGACACATATATAAATATAAATATAAATATATATATATATATATATATTAATTTGAACGGATGGTGTTTTTGGTCTCTAGGGACCTCAAAACGAAAAAGTAAATCGGTCCCGGGTCCAGGTCTTACCATGATTACTACGGTAATAGCTTATTCCCTATAGGGGAAATTCGCTAAAACAACTAACATATTTAAAAACAAATAAAAAATTATAATATATAATATATAATAATATATAATATATAAAAATAATAAT